CTTGTTTCTGGTTCACTAGGAGATCCCACCGGATTGGACAGAACTGTGTGCGGATCTGAGGTGCATGATCTGTCATCAGGTGGGGGGATTCTGTGCAAGGCTCTGAAAAAGGAGTGGGTAACGATGAAGTTGGTCGCTCTGCGGGAGCAAGATGACGAAGAGATACTGTTTCTTCTCGTCCATTAGGTAGACGTATGTGAGCGTATTCGGGGTTTCTCTCCAGCAGTACAACTTCCTCTATCATGAGGTCATACTTGGAAGAGCGGATGTTTCTTCGATATAGTACAGGACCAGGTGTTAATAACCACTGGGGAAACTGGTGCCAACCGCAGATTTTTGACTGTGAAGAAACATACGTTCGTGAGGCGCCGCGTTGATAGTCGTACAGAGTAATGATCTGATAGCATGGAGGGCATCAGGTAGCACCAACTCCCATTGATCAACCGCCAAATCCTTAGAACGGTGACACAGGGATAAGGTTTCCAGATGGTTCCATTCAGCCTTTCAGCCTGGACATTTCCTTGCGGGTTATAGCTGGTCGTCCTGCTAGTAGCTACTCCTCGGTCGTGAAAGAACGTCTACAGTTCCTGAGACATGAAAGAGGCCCTTTGATCAGAGTGTAAATAGTGCGGCAGGCCAAATATGGAAAATAACTCAGTTAAACGAGAAATTATAGTGCGAGCAGTCATGTCGGGACAGGGGAAGGCAAACGGAAAACGGGAATACTCATTAATAATTGTCAAAATGTAGCGATTTCGAGTAGAAGAGGGAATTGGGCCTTTGAAACCAACGCTGAGGCGTTCAACAGGTTGTGTAGCCTTAAAAAGGGGACTATTGCGTGGTCTGTGAAACTGGGGCTCAAGGCGTGCACAAACAGAACATTGTTGAGTTACCACCTTGACATTATTGAGAAAAAAGGGTAAACGTTATAGACGCGTGATACCGGGGTGGCACACTGTCGTGAAGTCGCCTCAGTTCATCGATTGAGTGAGTGCTTGCGCGGAATGCTCGTGATAATGCATCGGCTGCAGGATTCTCCGAACCTGGACGGTATATCACATCATATGAAAATTGAGAAAGTTCGATACGACAACGTTGTATTTTGTCGTTCTTGATTTTACTGCTGATTTTCATGGCGTACATGAAGGCGACGGAGCGTTGATCAGTANATCCAGTAGGCTTCTTTTTCCACAGTAGAATGATTTCGCTCTGAGGGTGACACGCGTGCGGGAAAAAAGCCACGGGGTGACCACTTTGATTGAGTGTAGCAGAGATTGCTACGTCGGATGCATCGGTTTCGATCACTAGTGGTGTCTTTATCGACTGCAACCAGTGATGCGTGAATTAGCTCGGATTTCAGTGATACATAAGAGGAGAGTACTTCCTTGGGAAGAGGGAAGATTTTGTTAGTAATTAGCGGGCGAATTTTTTCCGAAAAATGAGAAAATCACTGGGAATAGTATGAGAACATTCCTACAACTCTCTGTCGTGCCTTCATATTCGAGGAAGGGGTAGTTTGAGAAGGGCATCGAAGCGTTCAGGATCCGGCTTGACGCATCCTTTGGATATTTCGTAACAGTAATCGAACTACTTCAGAGGTGAATACACACCTGTTGTGATTTAGAGTTAAACCATGTGTGGCAGCCGCCTGCAGGCACCTCTTCAGATTGATGTCGTGGTCCGTGATTTCTTTCCCACAGACCGTAATGTTGTCTACATATGCAAAGGTTCCTTTGAGCCCTTCACGTCGAACAAGCTCATCCATAGTGCGCTGAAAATAGGCAACGTCGTTGGTTACTGCAAACGGTATGTAGCGAAATTGATAAAGGTTATTGCATGCCTCGAAAGCTGTATAATCTTCATTTTCCTTTATAGATATTTGGTGGTGGTACGCACTCTTCAAGTCTAGGGTGCTGTAAATGCTGTATTCGGCAATTTTACCCACCAAGTCATCAATGCGGGATAAGCATCCAAAAGGGTGAATCGGTTAATTGTCTGCCTGTAATCGACTACCATCCGTCGTTTCTGGCGTTCGTTGTTTGTAACCAGGACCTGGGACCGCCATGGTGATCGAGAAGGTTCGATTATTCCATCCTTCAATAGCCTAGCGACCTCTGGACGAATAAAATTCTCATCGTAGTAGCTGTCTCCTCGATTTTGTGCAAATAGGACGACAAGAGGGGTCCAGATGTGCGAAAATGGAGGGAACTGGAAGACTAGCGGTTGAGAGACCACAGAGAGAAAACGGTGGCTGAATTCTTTGGAAAGGTATTGCTACTGACTTATGTCGTTGTAATAGTACGTCAGCACATAAATCGGGGAGAACGGACAGTTTGACATTTTGATACAGAGTACCTTTATGTATCAGAGAGACAAAACAATAACCCCTGGTACAGCTTGTCATACGGGTGGAAGCCAGGACAATCTTACTATTAAATGTCAATGTCGACCATTTGTTCCGGAGAACGATATCCTCAGATACGTAACTTTCTGAACTTCCTGTGTCTACCAGAGCTTTCAGTGCTAATTTGTTGACTGTTACATTAGTAACAGCCTTAGTAAGGTTCGCAGGGGCTGCGGCTGCACTGATGGAGGAGACAAGGAATGTTGAGGTAGCTGCGGTATGCTTTGAGTTGGCAAGAGCCGGGCAAACTTTCTGGAAGTGTCCCCGTTTGCCACGTGAATTGCAAATTGCATCTTTCGCGGGGCACTTGTGACAAGGATGTCGATCATAAACACAAAAGAAGTAGCTTGTTCGGGACGCAAACCAGCGTCGTCTCAGGTGTCTGATCCAGGGTGCTTGCAGCGGCAGCGTAGATTGAAGGAGTGACTTGGGCGAATGTTTGAGACTACTGTTGAGCTAGATCGAGAACTTTGGCTTGGTCGTAAGCTGTACTTACATCGAGTGTTTTATTTTCAAGGAGCCGCTGGCGAATGGGGTTTGATAATAGCCCGCTGATAAACGCGTCACGCATGGCGTCCTTCTCGTTTTGTTTTGCTCTGACTGCTTTAAAATTGTAGTCTCTAGCAAGGTTTCTAAGCTTCTACATGGTCTAGAGTTGTCAGAAGATGACGCGCGAAAATCTCGTTCTTTGTTTGCATGTATAGGAATTGAAGCGTCGTAATAGTGGAGTCATAATCAGTGCATCGTGAAACGAATTTGTGGACAGTAGACGACAAAAAGTGCATGGGGGGTTTGAGTTTGTCTGGTTTATGCTCTTCCACAAATCCTAGAAAAATTAGTGAACTTATAATACCAGTGTTCCCAAGAGTCGGCACCTTCCGGAGAATTTGGATCAGTGTCGAAACGATCCGGGCGTAGATGTCGGTACATTGTAATTGGTCGATTAAATTGTAACGGAGTTGATTATATGGTTGATGAGAACTTGTAGTATATCAAATCACACGTTTAGTGGTCAGACAAGCCAGAAGACAATACCTTGCTGACAGGCTTTGATCGACCAAAAAACGAGGCGTGAGAACTAAAACGGGACAAGCGAAATGTGTGCCCAGAATAACAGCAATCTATGCAATAGAGAGGACAACAATATGTATTTAGTGTAGTGAAGTATAACAGTAAATATAGCGTAGTATCTCCACTGAAGATGATCCGTTTGCAAACAAATCAGCAACGAGGTGAGTTCGAGGATCAATAGTTGTCAAGGTTAAAGATGGGAACACTGTAACACTGATCTGAACGGGCACATCTATGTGATGATTAAACCGGAAACAATAACCGAATTGTATCCATTCGTGTAGCTTATCGCATTTGGACAATCGTGATGAGGTTGTTGTTGCGAATGATGATGATGATGATGATGTAGGTGGTTTTTCTGTTCTCCTTTGCAGCCTCCAGATGACAGTCCACTGGCTCCGTTTTTCACAGTAGACCTGAATTCTGCCGGACTGTTGGTTGCGGCCGTACAACTGGCCAAAGGTTCACTGCATTTGGAACATCAGACCGCCAGTCCGACTAGAATTCACGCCCTGTTCTTGTCCGCCCTGTCCGAACTGACTGCGGTCACAAACAACATGTGTGCCGGTGTATCCGGACTCGTTTGGTTTCGTGCAGCTTTGCGACACGAATTGCTCCTATTAGATCTGATGGTAAGTGGGGTTGTTTCACGGTTTTGTAGTGGTTGTTGTGTATGCGTAACCGAACTGGACTGATGAACTATTCGGCTCAATTTTTTTATTGCCTGGCTGTTTCACTGTAAAATACGTCAGAAATAATGGGGGCATTTGGTTAGGTGGTCTCAGAACCAACCAACCAATCACACACAACCTGACCCGCTTTCGTTCATCCTGTGATGATCCGGATTCTTTCTTCATTGTAGACTGGTGCAGATACATGCCAATCAGTCTGTGACCGATGTTCTCTGAATAAACTTTCAACCTCCGAGTGTCTCAGACCAACGCACGCAAGAATAATCAAAGTTAGTTTGGGAATGGATGGATGGATAGATAGGTGAATGAATGTTCTGGCGCACAAGCGCGCATTCATAGAAACTCGCACCAACGTTATTTATTAGAGAGAACAAAATAATGTTGATGGAGGGTAATGGAGGAAAGAGGATTGAAAATACTATTCCTTTGGAATCGGTACTGTTGTGCCCCGTTTCGATAAGTAAATAAGTGCACAATGAATTTAAGCCGTACGTTTATTGTAGCGGGCACTAATGTAGCTGATCCACTGTACGGTGACCAAGCCGAAGCGGGCAACATGTAGGAAGTCCGGAGGGCTCTAGCATCACGCGACATCCGAATGCGGTCAAGCAGGCATTCAAAAAGGCAAACAATCAATCAGCGTGGGAACAGACCAATACTAACATCAGATTGGCTCGAGCCGATCGATACTGCAATGGAGTCAGTCCGCATGGTGTGAGTGCGTGCGTATGTGGTGGCGAGCAGCATCTGTCAATCAATCAATCCAGCCACAGGCAAGCGCGACAAACGTACCAAGTGATGGCTCACTAAATTTGCTCCGTATTTCTCAAATCATATTCGTTTCTTTTTATGCAATTTAGTTTACTGATAAAGCGGACAATATTGACCTTTGGTTGTTTTACAATTTCCGTTGGATATCATGTCGAGTTGCCACACTGTTCAGTGGTTATTTTTCACCGCAGCTGTAATTACTTAGGTTTCCTTTACGGACTAATATATGCTAATCATGAGTAGCTTATATATAGTGCGATTGCTCCATCGTTTATCATCGTCTCGTCCCTCACTCGCGACCTTAATCCCTCTGACCCTTTCTGTGATCTGATTGGATCATATTCCGCGATCTGTGGCACTTGGATTCCCCCACCCCAACACGAGACACTCTGATTCCCGGTTTGTACGTTTTGTAATGCTCTTGTTGCTATGTCCATCCGTGTGCTGATGGCACTCCTGCCGCACAGTCAAAGTTCACTGGGCCTGCCTGAAACTCACGGCTGTAAACAAGATGTGGCTTATCGCTCGGGTTAACCGGGCAAGTACCAGTCCCTTGTTGCGGCTGAACTGTTCGACCGATCGATAAATGAACCCGATCGGTCGTGTGAATTTCGGGCCGGCACATGAGGAGGATAGGTTCCGAATCCGATGCTGCCTAAGTGTTGGTAGAGAATCACCACAAGAGAATCAAGAACTATATGAACTATATGATTTTGTAACCTATAAAAGAGTGCTGTATTTGGCTAGTAAATGAGGCACCGAAAACGAGCTTGTTTGTCAAATTGACTTCTCGATGCAATCCACGGGTATTTTCCAGTACAAGAGAATCAGTTGTGGAGCGGTGCGCCATGTGGGAAATTCGGAATGGAAAATGCTCAAACGATGATGACACTGGACGAACGCCACTTTTCGAAGCGGGTTCGGTAAACAGATAATCGTAATAAAACTTTGAACTTGTCTTAATAACAGACAACAATGTCCCCTAATGTAGGCCCATGCAAAACTCTTCTTGTTTTTTCTTAACTGGTTGTTTTCGCGTTGAACGATCTCGCTAACTACGTCGGAGATAGAATTCCGAAAGAAAGAATAAATATAAGGGGGAAAAATATATTCATATCATAAAAGTTGTTCCATATGTTCTCCATTGTGCTACTTGCATAGCGAAATCCGGTGAAGATAGTTTTCTTCCACCCTCAGAATGGTAGCAGTTAAAATACTTTCGCACTGCGCCACAATACTCTGTTTATGCTCCTCGACCGTTCTCGGTTTTCGGGAATAAACTGTTCACTTTAGNGCCATGTGGGAAATTCGGAATGGAAAATGCTCAAACGATGATGACACTGGACGAACGCCACTTTTCGAAGCGGGTTCGGTAAACAGATAATCGTAATAAAACTTTGAACTTGTCTTAATAACAGACAACAATGTCCCCTAATGTAGGCCCATGCAAAACTCTTCTTGTTTTTTCTTAACTGGTTGTTTTCGCGTTGAACGATCTCGCTAACTACGTCGGAGATAGAATTCCGAAAGAAAGAATAAATATAAGGGGGAAAAATATATTCATATCATAAAAGTTGTTCCATATGTTCTCCATTGTGCTACTTGCATAGCGAAATCCGGTGAAGATAGTTTTCTTCCACCCTCAGAATGGTAGCAGTTAAAATACTTTCGCACTGCGCCACAATACTCTGTTTATGCTCCTCGACCGTTCTCGGTTTTCGGGAATAAACTGTTCACTTTAGATATCCCCACAGAAAGAAATCCAAGGGGGACAGATCCGGTGATCTTGTGCAATTTCGCGATTCTGTTATTTGTTGAAGAAGAAGTGATCTGTTTGCAGTTAATGCACAACCAGTGATATGCTCAACGAGCGCTCTCATCTCATATGCATTTTATTTCGTTGTTTTTCTTTTCTGGCTTTAGAGCGTTCTGGATCCTTGCTTCGCATCATCCGTTGAGGATTTACGCACAGCCTCCACAACCACCGCGGGCGGTACAGGTGTGCCTAAACTGCCCACACGCCGTTTCCATTTCAATGATCTATCGAGACGGGCGAAAATATGTCTGTTCCAAGCGGCCGGTTTGCCAGCCAACCAGGCCGCTTTGGAGAACAAGATGGACGCCAATATGCCACTAGGTTTGTCCAGCACCCTGGTCTGTTCGGCGGCATGCTTTTTGCTATGGAATGGGGTGAGTCAAGGTTTCACACACACACGTGTTTCTCAGTTAATCGTGGATCGTATTTGTGTAGAGAATGAAGATGCCCAATTTTTGCTGTATGAACTATTCATGAGTGCAACGGTATATATATATATATATATATATATATATATATATATATTTCTCCAGTCAGTCACATACTACGTATTATCAAATATTCTACCAAGACCATCAAGTCACGTTTATTTCGGTTCGAAACATCGAATCATAGCATCGATTCTTCATTGGACTGGCTCTGAAAGAGCTGTCTATCCAATGGTCACCCGGTGTTATAAACAAGGTTATTATGACGAAAATACATTTCCTGGGTAC